CCCCCTTCTCTTCCTCCGCCCTCCCACTACGCTAACAAATCCGGTCCTCAGCCCCCCCCCCCCCAAACCGTAAGATTCCATCTTAAAACCCGATAGTCGTCGTATCCGAACCAAAATGAAAACATGAGGACAATCGCCATAGAAAATACACCTCGACAAGTTCTGGGCGCTGCGCGTCAGCCGCCGTCGGACAGGCGGTGGCGCCGGATGGACGACAACTAGCAGATTCGTCGAAGATTAGATGGACGCAAGCGTGTCGGAAATCGCTTGATTGATTGTATTTCGAAAGAAAAAATGAAGGAGAAAGGACGGGGGGGGGGGGATGTTTCAAGGTCTTTGAAGACATTGACAAATTTGATGGGAAGTTGTATGGTTCGGGCGCGATTTGGGTGGCAGAAGTACAAAAGTGTTTGGTTAGAGGGCTGAGACAGGGGGCGGGGTCAATTTTTGCTCAATTTCACATCTTTTTTTTTCAGTTTTCTCCAAAAGTCGTTATAAGGAATGAGCTACTGCTAAGCTGCGTATTACTGTAGACGTCAAGGTCAAATTCAATTGCATTCCGCCCTTGAGGAGAGATTCGATAAAAAAGTTTGGAAACTGTGTTTTTTTTTTGCTTCCGTTCAGTAATTCTTACCTTCGCAACAATAGTTCCTTCTCAGAATAGAACAACTTTTCCTTGAGGTTTCCTTTCTTTAGGACACATACAAATGTGATTGCCATGGTATAGAAAAGAAGTAATTGTCACTTTTGGCTTGTACGAAAATATGCGAAAGGTTTGGAATGACAGGCTTAGCTTTAGCAAAACATTTAATGTGATGATTGCCACAGTAAAGGAATTGGATAAACGATGAATAGCTATGGTTGGATAAAAAGGAAAAACGCAGACAACTAGTTTTGAGTTAGCAGTTATGCCGTTATGCCTCGAAGTGAACGGGGCAAAGGAAATTCTTGGGATCATATCTAATATAAAGGAAAATTATAAGTTTCCATTTCGTCCCCTCCCTTAGACGAAGTGTTAATTTCTAGACCCTCTTCGGGACTATTTGTTGTCAGTAAGGAAAGAAGGTCTAGACAATTTTAGATAAAGGTTTAGAAAATGTAAAACTATTACAAATATAGAGGCTTCCAACAATTAAATGATCTTCTGTGCGTAGTGAAGGAAGAATAATCTAGTTCCAACATGTTTGTTTTCGTTACATTCATTCTAGAATACATGATTTATAACATCGTTTTATAATTCTCGGTTGTTTTTGCGGGTTTTTTCTTCAAATTCTGAAAGAACGAGATGTGGTGACAAGCATGTCCTCAAAAGTTTTTCTCGCAGCTATTCGAATTTGTAAAAACTCTAGAATTATATTATAGGGTACTTTCGAAAATTTTGGGACTCAATATTCGCTCCCTCCATGGGTTCGCCACTGCTGCTTACCTGACATAATTGTAAAGATTATTTCCTGTGAATGTGCATCTTGACCAAGCTACCGTAAACCTACCGTACTTCCACTTCAAGATGGCGATGATTATACACGGCATTAGAAGTCAGCGAGTAGAATTGAATGAATTCCATCCAGCATTTGGAAGTTAGATTTCAGCAAACCAAGATGGAGTCGGTCATACTTGGAGTGAGAGTACTGTATTCAACATCAACATCTCTTCTATATTTTATGCTGTCTAGTAAATAAGTTCGGTCGCTTTTGCGGCTCTTACAGATGCTGCAGACAAATTTTTTGTCCAGTGTTTCGTATCCTTGGAAAAAACACTTCAATAATTAGAGTGCAAATTCTGTTTTCTTTCATGGAATTAAATCCGCATTAGAAACCTCAATTTTCTGATAGTGTGAAGGGATTTTGGTTTTTTTTATAAAAGATTTTCAAAGTGGCAGATCACAGTTTCCATTTATATTCACTACATGAACACGAAGCTTAGAAAGCCAAAGAATTGAGCTGTTCGAAATTTAGTCATGTCGAGACATAACTGTCTTTACTGATAGTGGAAAATTCTGATTATTTGATATGTGACAGAGGAAACCTCAAACTACTCCACAAAGTCCTAGATAGAAAACAACACGAAATTCCTTTAATGAACATTTGAATACTAAAACAAACTTTTTTCAGCCAACCTGATAAAATAAGGCGAACCAACATGACTATCTATGGAATCTGTATCCAACAGGGAATACAGGACTTATGGCAAATCGAAGGTCATATGGGATGTTTAGCAAGGGGAAGGAGATGCAGTAACCTGCGATTGAGACAGTCTAGGAGTGATCGCACCGGATAAAGTGCATGTCACGACGTCGAATGCTGCTATCAACTGCAGCATATGAACGGGCGCTATAGTAAGGCTTTTTTCATAGCACAGCAACCAGTTACCCAACCCAACCCCCCCCCCCCCCCTTCGGCGCCTTACACACCCATCCATGTATAAATTACCCTGTGGAGCTTTCTTGCGCGCGCTTGAACGAATATGTAAGAGCGGCTATCGAAACCAGTAGTGTGAAGCCCGCTTTTACGACTGAACAAACAAACAGCAGTGAATGATGAGACGCTTGGCGAGATACGCGGCTAGGCTACGTATAGCCGAAGTGTGCTTGGATACAGTTCAAGGTACGAGTTCTATGGTACACTCAAGGACAAGTAGAGGACAAGGTTGAAGTAGGTACGATCCGCGGCAGAGGTCGAGTGAGCGATGGGTACTGTTTTTCTAGTTTATAAAAGTTTGTCTAAGTATCGCGCATCATAAACCTCAAAAGTGGTTCAATGGGAAAATTTTGCAGGGATCCTTATGATCATTTTGTCTCCCAAATAATTGTAACAAAGAAGTGAAAGTTGTACTGGAATGCGATTTAAAGATAGAGAGATATCAAGCATTACATGCCCAAATCCGGACGAATACGTGCGCTATTTCAATTTTTGGGGTAAATTTGCATTTTCGACCCATCCACCATACCCCACCGCAAATTGGGGAGGTTCTACCTTATTACAGCAACCATACGGGAAGAGTTTAAATTTTTAAAAGTGTGATATTCGCTGTCAGCATGTCAAATAGCCCCTCCCCCGCCCCCACCCTAAACGAAACTTCAACAAAATGTGTGATTTTGACATTACACCCGAGGAGGGTCTACCCTACCACCGTAACCATACGGGAAGAGTTCTCGTGCGAAATGACTTTGGTATTCGCAGTCAGCATGTCAAATACCCACCCCCCCCCCCCACCCTATACGAAGATTCAACAAAATCTGTGATTTTGACTCATATCGTATACCTAACGCAATAAGATGTCAAATAATCCCCTGAAACCTTTATCATTCAGATCTCTAGTTTTATTTTGTGAACAATGGGGGATGACATTTTCAAAAGCCTAACAGCGGTGAACAAATCATTCGTTAGTATATCCTGTGCGACATCTGGCACAAATTATGCTTTTTTACACATTGCCATCAGTACTAGTTGTCTATGCACAAGGAGACTATCGACGATGTCCGATGCGATTCTGCTCTTACGGATAATAATTGGATGGTTAGAGTTTTCGTGCAAAGTCCGAGCATGATCATGTCCGAATAATTTTTGGTGGGGTTGTGCTGTACAAACTTTATTTTCTTTCAACAAAACTATTTCTAGTTAAATACAAATGTATGGTTCCACTGTCGACCGACCAATTTAGCTACTCTTGCAAGCCCTGCGACATACCAGTTTCTTTGATAACCCTCATAATGGTGACAAGGAAAAAGTGCAAGAAGTGATAATATCTGCTGGCACGACCTTTTTGCAAGTTGCGACCTTATCTAACATTCTTTAAGAACGTTCAAAAGCACTTATGAGACGCACAAATACGAGCTGTATACTAGTGGAATGTCGTACACGCTTCGAAAAAGCTACTCTGTCTAAGTGTAACAGTTTTAGCCGAAATTACAGCTAATTTCAAATGTGCTGAAGTTGTAAAGTGAGAAGAAAAAAAACTCAAGTGAGTGAGAAAATTGAGAAAAAAGAAGCAATTTGTGCCAAGCACATGGATTCTTTCCAATTCAGAACGCATTGAAGCAAGGTCGAGAACTGGTTGATCAGGGTTGTATGGAATAGCATCCCAATCTGCTGGGAACAGTTAAGTGAAGCGAGATTTGCAATCTTAGCGCATACATGCTTATTATGATGGAATGTCTTATGGTTAGATTATGTTGATTGCTTCAAAAAAGTTAATTGCAGCCCTTGGTGGGTTTTAATAAGGTACGACAGGGTATACAAGTTGAGAAGGAAAGAAATGTTTCGGAAGGAACATATAATTATGAATTTTTGATTACTGCGCCCTCTGAGCTTTGGAGACACTGCTATCCAGTCAGTAAAGGAAGACATTCGTAGATAAATAATTACAATAGTAATTACTGTGAGATTTTCTTTCAGAATTTCTTGAAGTATTACCCCATGCTTTTTGCGCACCGCTGAGGGCACTACATGAATAAATCAACTAGTCAATCAGACATATAAAAGAGAAAAACAAAAAGTAAGCTGGTTGGGCAAGTTTTCTATAGCACTATTAACTAATAAAGCTTTTAGCGCTTTTAGTCTATTGCAATTTCTTTCCAGACTTGACGTTTGATCCAAAACTTTTTGGTTCATAACAGAAATAAATGAGCTCCACTGTCTTGTAACCAAAAATTTATTGATTTTTCCATCAACAAATTTTCGGGAGGTCTTTTATCGTACATGATGCCATTGAAGCAATAAATCGTATTTTTGGTGTTTAGTAGTCAAGAACCACACGAAACTGTATTAGCATACCCACCCATATCTTGAAATTTGATAGTATTTTTGACTAATTTTAAGCATAGAGCAAATTTTAATTATCTGCGAGCTATACACTTCTCGTATAATACTACAATCTACTTTTTTCATTCACTTACATATCAATAAAATGCGTACAAACAGGAAAGACCTGCGTTTTATTTTGAGCGAACTGAGAAAATTTTTTTTCTAAATTTCTCAAAACTGATAGTTTTGTGTATATGGCACCCTGTTGAAAAAGGTTGACTCTTCATATAAAATTTCCTAGTTTTATTCAAAGATGAGTGAATGTACATCGAAGAATGAGACATTTGTTATCATCTAGTTGCTTTTTAGAAGACCATTCCTAATGTGAGATCCTTCCAAAAGAGTGCCGACTACAACTCGATCATTGGCTTTCTCTGATACAGGGACAGCTGAGTATTTCAAGCCATTCAGCGAGTATACGTCCCTAAAATGGCGCTTCGAAATTTTTAAAGAAATTGTTTTACCAGAGAGATTCACCTGTTGACTATGATTCCGCAGACATTTTCCTGTTGTCCAAATTGTTTGGCAACAGGTTGCAAGAATCTAGCAAATGGATGGAAATCGTCAAAGTTGGCTGGAGTTTCCCCACTGACGCCTCCGCCATAGACATTCCAGTACCTGGATTTCTCGAATAATTCAAGTTTTTTACCTAACAGATCTCCGCCTACCATAGCATAGCTCCTTCTAAATTTGCATTGCTGGTGATTTGGCTCCAATCGTAGGCATTTGTATAGAAGCCGACAATGACACCATATTTGTTGGCGGTGATTATAATTTCATTGAGGAAAGCAATGTTACTTTCGATATTTTGGTCCCAGTGGATCGGAGAGGTCACCTGGAGACGGAACCGTCAGTTTAGCATAATTCTAATTTTGTGTCCATTTTGTGCCAGAACTGTGCCAGCGCCGTGTCAGCGCCGTGCTAACGCCGTGCAGGAACCGAGAACGCACCCCTGTTGGTCTATTTAAGCCCCAGCACAGCTTGGCCTGGTATGGCGCTGGCACAGCTCCGGCACACGGGTAATTCTGGACACGGCCCATTGCAGGTATTACAGTAGGGTTACGGTGTCTATCTCTTACCTGCACCCAGAGAGTTTTCATTTGGATGTTACCGTGTAGTAAGCCGGTGTATATTTCCATAAACTGGTCTGCACCTCTTTTGATTGAATTTTTTTGTGGAGTCATAAATACTTCAGTTCCAAGTCCGACTAAAATTTGAAAATTCCGAAATTATTGGTTAACTGAGCAAAATCAAGGATTTCAAAATTAACCTACCTTGGCTAGCACAGTGAATGTTGTTAACAGCGTTGACATCGAATCTACCTTGCCCAGCAGGATCATAGCCCCTAGAAATTGAAAATTTTAGAATATGGTAATGCTGTTTACCAGTTTGTTTACCTGATAAATACAGCACTATAGCGATACTGCTTGATGCAATTGAAACCATCATAAGAGACTGGTTTGTCAATGTCTAGAGCGTAAGCATAAGCATAATTTGCAGTCTGGAACATTGCCAAAATCTTCTGAGAGCTAAGTGAATGTGTGAAAATCTGGCTTACCAAGTTCAATTCTGGACCTGCGGGCTTGCTGGCGACTAGCTGCCAACTTGCCACCAAGACGCAAATAATAAGCAAAATTCGCATGATTTATTCTTCGAGCTGAAGGTTTTGACCCTACTCTAGATAGTAGGCAGATAGTAGATTAACGGAATAGAACCGCTTGACTACAAGAATTGCTTGCACCTTTTATGCAGTTTCCTAATCAAGACAGCGTGGGCGTAGATGCCCTCAGATCGTCGTTTTTGTGTAGGACATGTGAAGCAATGGAAGTGCTTATCACACGTCTCCATTCCTAAAAACACTTTGGTGTACGTCTGAGCACACAATGGGATTATATCGACTAGCAAGTAAGGATTGTAGCAATGAAATTAATCATTGAAAATTGCTATAGTACAAAGAATTGAATTCGTTCTGTAAAAAAACACTTGGACTTTTATTGTTAGAAAGTGGAGTATGATACGGCAATGTATCTCAATTATTTGGTAGATTTGGTAAGAAAGAAATGATTGTCGTTCCTATGGCAAAGCTACAAGACGGACCTTAAATAATGTAAACGAAAAAACCTTTTGATTCAACTGGCTTGGCGGCTGGAAGACGGGGCTTCGTGACTCAATTAAGGATAGGTAATGATCAGAAAGCACGCGCCCGGGAGAGACGCAGACTGCGTCGCGGGGGCGAGCGGCCTTAATCATGTCGCAAAGCTCCGCCTTCCAGCCGCTATGCCATTTAAATCAAAAGTCACCATTTGATAGAGCAAAGCAAGCTCTACAAGAATATCTCTAAACTTTAGCGTAAGTCGTAATTCATGTAAACTTTGAAGCCACAATACAACCCATGATGCCAATATTGTATCACCTCCTCAAAAATTCATAAAAATTTCTCAATTCTTCTCATACAAACACTTTCCATTTTTCTCATAGCTAGAAATTAAGAAGAAGATGAGAAACGGAAAATGACATACTCCGTACCTAGCATTGAGTTTAACCCATATGTAGCTGTACTACAAAATTTCGAAACTTTAATATAGAACATCGACTTTAGCCAGAAAACCAGAAAACGACACTCTTTTTCTCCAGCCTGATGTATCCGACATTTGTATATTGCTGATCGTCTAGTAAAAATATGATTTTTGCATTTTATCTCTGTAAATTTCCTCGCCAAAGTCAAAGTGTGCTTTGAATAGGAGGTTTGTAGGGTTCTCTAACACATTCAGACGGGCGATTCTCACTTTCTGCCATCTCGAGCCAGAGCGATTTTCCACCGTCAAAGTTACAACCTTTCAGTGGGCCGTATGGTCCGAAATAGTTATCCTCTGCCAACCACCTATGTTGTCGCGTCTAGCGATGCATGCGCTCCTCAAAGCGCCTCAAAAGGCCAGGAGCCCGGTCGCTTCGCATATCCGGTCGCGACTGCGGCAGTCCTAGCTTCGCAATCGCTGTCGGACCTCTCCTTGCTGGAACGTAGCCAACAAACTGGTTATATAGAGCGGCGGCTCCTCATTTTGCTCGCCTGCTCACTTTCGTCTTTACGGACGCGCAATGATGAAGCAATACCTTTTGAAATTGTTGTTGAACTGGGAAGATCGGGGTCGGAGAGGGTTGTACCTTTTCCCCCGGGTCTGACCGACTGGCGACGGATTCGTTTGGTGAGACCTCGGGAATCATGATTTGAGATAAGGCTAACGAGGACCTTGGTAGCATGGGGCGATACGATCGCCCCGTGCTTTTCTTGTTCTCTGAATCTTAGTTTCAAAATATTGAGTTACTGTAGGTTTTGCGTTTGAAAATAAATGTATCTGATCTAGTCGGTTTCTTTTCTTCATCAGCATTTACGCGCTATTATCGTGTCCTTTTATACGGTAAGTAGTCCTCGGCAGCGGCTGGTAGAAAGTAGCTAACCTTATCGGACGCGCGACATCACGTAGAGGACAATAGGGATTCACGGTGTAGCCGCTGTTCAGACATTCGCCGTTGTCACCCGCAGGTGGACCGCCCACAAAATGGCTGATCGCACCAAAACCCGGTGCACCGTCGGGAGACATGAATTTAGTTTTGACCGGATTTTACTGCGATTTTGCCCCAATGCACGTCGCATGCGTGTATGATAGTGATGTTGCGAAATAGTCGTCTTCTCTTGGTGATTGCTTTTTGTTGATTGGTGCCTTTTTCTTCAATGTTTTTGCTTTCATTCTTTCTTATACATCTTATACATCGCTTATAATCGCTCCTTGGGATCATTTGTGTTCTTTCATAACATAAACTTGTCATTATACCAGACCTACTCTATCTTAATCATACTTAATGGTGCCTTTTGATTTAATTTCGCTTATTATTTTTCCTTAATTTTACCAACACATCAATAAAAGTGAGGTCACCGTTTCCGTAGGACATCGATTTGACGGTTTGTCAGTTCAGATGAGATCGCGCGTCCAAAATAGCAACTTCACTTGCAATCTCTGCGCTGGCGTTGTAGATCGAAGGTAAGCATTTTCTTCTCAATTCAGTAGGTTACTTCAGGACTCCTTCCAACTCAGCAAATTTGCGGAGTGCAATTTTGTGAGCTTAGCTTCAAATTGTTAACCACAAGCCTGATTTGACTAAGTTTCAAGCCAACTACAAGCTTAAACAAACTTGAAATATCGTAATCTTGTGTCAGGTTCAACAAACCGTTGAGGCGTCGCTAGCTAGCTAAAATCTGTCAAAACATGTAACTTATACTACCCATTACTTATTGTGGGTAGCTTCAAGCTGACACGTGCAGGACAAAAATTTGCGAAAACGTCATTTTACGAGAAAATCCTTATGACACAATACTTTTACAGCAAAAAAAAAACAGTTTAGCGCACGAAGTATTGTCATAGTTCGAAAAATGTGTTTTTATAAGAAAATTTCTCCTGCAAAATGGGCTTTTCCATAGCTTGTTTTCGCAGTCTCACAGAAGTAAGACCGGCTGCAGCCGTATATGGACTGCTGCTGTGTAAAAAAATTTACTCAAATTTATTTTCATGCAGGAAACAAAGAGCTAAATCTGGGTGTAAAATGCACGTTTGGTACCCGTACCCCATCAGATCTTTGAATTCCCGTCTGCAAAGCCATAGCTAGTCAAATGACCAGCTATGGCTCTGGCTTCCGGCCTTGATAAGAGAATTTATTCTCTTTAGAGAAGTTTCCACAATGCATGCAATGGTTTTTTGCGGACTTTCGTCCGTACTTGGAAGAGGGGCCTTTTTTCTCGCAGATAGATCAGAAAGAGAATTCGTGGGGTCAAGAATGGGCGAGTTAGAAGGCGAAATACTGCTTGTTCAAATATGGCTCACATGAAGTTTGATGGGCTGCCAAAAATCCATTCTTTGCTCTATTTTATACATGTTTCGATGACAGTCGTCTTCTCCATATTCTTTTGTTCCATTGTGGTCCTTTCTGACTTCGTTCCTTATGTAAAAGTGATCTAGCTCAAATTTTTATTAACCAGTCGCTGTAGCCCGAAAATCGCAATTTCTCGAAAGTAACGAGTATCAGAAGCTGTTTGAATTTTGGCATGATGAGGCAGCAATCCACGCCGAAAAGAAGAAATCGCAATTGTCAAAATCCATCTTTCAAACACGGAAAAAATGATATTCGGCCTTCTAACTCGCTCAATCATAGTCCCACAATTGCTCTTGTCTATCTAACCGAAAAAAAAGAAAGTCTGCTCTCTAAAACTCAGCCCGATTGAGGTTTTTGAATATGAAATGAATGAACGAAAGGCATCGTATTTTTGGGAGCTGAATTTGACTGAAGTCTTAGAAAAATGGAAGAGATCGGCTTGCGCCCATAAACATGATCATTTTCTGCATTTTCATCATGTTTCTGATTTTCTTAGGCACTATTTCGTCAATGCAAGCGATCACTGCTGAAGGAAATCTTGCCTTACACATGATTATTTGGGCTTGTGAACCGACAGAGGAATTCAAAAGTATGCATGTAGGCAAACTGGCAAAAAAGGAAAAGATGACAACCTCAAGCATCTCCCGGAATGCACTGTGGATTTACTAAAAAGTGGGTTTCTTCCGTCATTTTGTACATCAATTCGAATAATTTATTCAGGGTTTGTATTGGACGCTTTTGGCCTACCGGACAAAGAACTTCTACAATCTGCATAAGAATACGACAAAGGCGTCAAAGGTAAAACTTTCGTCCCAAAAAGTTTACGCATCTGATGCTGATGTTTTTCAGAAGAACCGCCCCAGGACATCTAACGTGAGCACTGACTTGAACATCATCAAAAAACGGACGCCGATATTGCAGTAACGGATGCGAACGACACACATTAGTCCAATTCCAGTTGTTTTTTTGTCAAGTGTTCTCTCGATGTAGTTTATTTAATTTTGCGCTGATGTAGATTTTTCTGTACCATGAAGTGGTTAATAAATACTATAGCTTGATTTGTTAGTGACAGTGAAAGAAGACAGCACGGTAGAAGTAAAACACACAAGTATAGAGTATATACTCTATACTTGTGTGTTCCACTATATATACTTACTATATATATACTTGTATATATACAGGGTGTCCCAAAAAAATGTTAACACTGTTTGACCGTTAATAACTCCCTTGCTTTCAAGTCTTTTGCAGAGCTTTAGGTACCATTTTGTAGAGCGAGGATAAACTTAGATTTACAGTATGGAGCGAATCATCTAACTCTCCCCTTTATTGTAGAATTACGGTAGGAAATTTGAAAAGAATTTTAGGCCATTGAAGGCCATTTTCTGCTTCGAAACAGAGCCAAACAAGCCAAAATCTCTTGTACTATGGTAATGAAAGCTGCTGATTTCTGATGTGAAATTTCCATTTCATTTTCCTACTTCCTTTCAAAGTTATCCTAGGTAAAGTGTGACAACTGACTTCCCAGCATGTGTCAAAAACGTGATTACACCGTCAAAAAAGCTGAAAACACTCGTAAAAAGTTGTCTAGTAAAATCAGCGTGCGTGAAGACACTATTGCACGATTTTTCAGATTTTTTGAAAAAAAAAGTTTGTCAGAGGGCATACTTCACGACGGTTCACATGCTGGAATTTCTTACCGTAATCCTACAGTAATGAAGAGCGAACGGTGATTCATTCCAAACTGTAAATCTAAGTTTATCCTCGCTCTACAAAATGGTACTTAATGCTCGGCAAAAGACTTGAAAGCAAGAGAGTTATTAACGATCAAACAGTGTTAACATTTTTTTGGGACACCCTGTATATATACTTTATATATATACATATGAATTATATATATTGATATAATATATATGCCACTATATACGTACCTACGAGGGTGAACTACTGCTTCAAGGATCGGGGCATTATGGTGTCTCCCGCAGGTCACTCCGATAATGACCGGAGAATGCCCTGTCGGGGCATTATGGTGTCTCCCGCAGGTCACCCCGCTGCAAACACAGGTGACCTGATTTTGCCCCGACACCGATTTCGTGTGACGCGCCGTTGGTCAATGAGATCACATCATTTTAAAATGCGGGTGACAACCGTGAATGTCTGAGTGCAAGCACTTGCGGAAGGTGCTGATCCCACCGAGCCGCCACATAGGTGTTTCCAAACATGTGTCAAAATCCACAAAGTTTCATGAATTTGCAAGAATTAAATTTGCAAAGATTAGATCTTCAGTAAACATACGACCAATAGTGGGTTGCTTTACTTGAAATGGCAGTGCATGTACAACGGAAAGGCCTATTGTTATGTACGTGCGATTTGTTTTTCTTCGAACTCTATTGCATTATATGAACATCAATTTTGCATCAAGATGTCCACAATGGGTAACATCAATAATCTGCTTCAAAAAAGGAAGTATTGAACGATTTTCCTCTTCGTCGACCAGTAATCACGGTTATCGTGATCATAATCAATTAGCAATATCCAAATGTTCTTGAGTCATTCCTCTTTGATAACTATCAGAAACAAATACATGCATCCAAGTTTACTTTGACCAACTCTCCGGAATCCCATTTTTTTCAGTTTTCTTCATTTTCATCCTACTTTGCTATACTTTTTCGTACGCTCTATTTTTAGGGCGATTATCGCATAGGTCTTTTTCATGAAATTAATACAGCGGAAAGACTCTAAAGATTATGTTCTTTTATTCTATTTCTCATTTGAAATCACTTATGATCGCGTCTGAGAACCGATTAAACCTTCAGCAACGAAAGTTGTGAAAACTGTCATGTGAATGTCTTTGCTTTTCTTTCTCACGCCTAGTAATCCTTCGTAATGTTAGACACACTGCGAACAACTTGTAGAGCTTCTAGACTAATAAATTTTAACTTCTAAGGTTTTTTTATCAATTGAAAATAAACTAGAAGGCGTCCGAGTTTTTTTCCAAGCACCATCTGTGTAGCTTGCAAGACGCTGATGTCAGGATAACGTATGGTAAAATGATTTACAGGTTTATAATCACGGTCGTCGAAAGTGGGAGGGTCACGCGCGAACAATGCAGCAGAAACTCAGCCCGTGCATGTATTGGAATGTGTATATTTGTTGCAGATGTCCGGCGGGACCTCCCACTGCAGCATATAGTCCCCCATTCTAATTTGCCTCTTCCGGCAAATGAGTTGAAATGATTATCACCTTAGATTGTTTTTCAATAGTTGTACCTAGACAAGGTCTAAACGCCGCAAGTTAGAGGAGGCGTTTGGTCGTACACTGACGAATACAAAACTGCATTCCCTTTTAGGCCACCGAAGAAGACGATAGTTGTCGAAACGTTAGGCGGTAAAGGTTCACAATGAAAACCTTTCTGGCACAAAAACAAATCACAAAGTACTCTTTGATTCAACTGTCTTAGTTCCTGGAAGACGGGGCTTCGTGACCTAGTTGAGGCTAGATAATAACCAGAGAGCAAACGCGCGAGAAAGACGCAGAGTTCGCGTATGTTCTGGTCTCTAAGACTATGCACTTAGTGTTGAATCGTTGTCGCAGTGATCAACTTTCTTGCGTTTTTTTAATTGGCTAGCTTTCCTGTTTTTTACTCGTCGAGTGCTCCTTTTTCCGTATGTAGTGTTTCACGGGCATAAACGAGCACTCAGCGAGCACGTAAGTTTTATGAACACAGAACGTAAGAAATACGAACAGTCGTCATTTCCGGTTAATACAGTTTTGCTTTGGTAAAGAGTACGTAGTATACTTGGAACCGAATCGAATGATTACCCGATTATTCGAATAAATCATTCGAATGCGAATGATTCGAAAAGTCGAATATTCGAATATCTGAGATTTCGAATAGAATTCGAAAGTCGAATATTCAAAATCTTCAGTTTTTGAATATATTCGATATTCGATATTCGAAAATCTCATCAAATATCATTCGAAAGTCGAATATTCGATGTTCATCAATTCGATCACTCGGTTTCCATCGAATATTCGAATAATCGATGAGCATCGAATGATCGAACTCCATATAAGCATAGCACTTCATTGTAGAATAGGCTAGAATCTCATTCGGGAGTGTATCGTCGTCTCCCCGCGATGGATAGGGTGTGTCGTCTGCAAAGTCCGCAGATGTGCGTGTTTCGTACGGTGCTAGCCAGCGTGGCTTTGCCAACGTTGCCAACGTATGCGCGTGGCAGTTTTTGGCAGTTAGAGAGTACGAAAATTAATGTTATATGATGAAGATTTAACAAGTATTTAGACGTGGCATGTATATACATGCCACGCCATGGCTAATACCGTACGAAATACGCACGTCTAAGGACTTTGCAGACGACACGCCATCTATCGCGGGGAGACGACGATATATGTTTTGTAATCCTAGCCGGTAGTCTGTACAGTAATCGTGGCGCGCCATTTCCGTGTTGCAGTATGTAACTGTCATCGATTTCTCGTTTACCCTCCAACAATGTGTGCAGTCGAATTAATTCATATGATCATGTCCTCCAAGAATCCAGGATACTTACTTACTTAGATACTTAGATGGCCCGGCTTCACGTGACGTGCGGGCCCCAGCTCAGAAGTTTCCATTTTTCCCTGTCCCTCGCTTCTGACATCCACGATCTTCTTGGCTGACGTCGGTGGCTGCGTCCACGAGTTCCAGGTGCAAAAATCGTATCCAGCTGATTTTTCAGCTGGTCCATCCGTTCCACGAACACGTCTGCCCATCTCTTTGGAGGTCTTCCTCGGGGACGTTTGGCTTCGCGAGGAATCCACTCCGATGTTCTTAGTGTCCATCTGTCGTCTGTTCTTCTCATTATGTGACCGGCCCATCGGTGTTTGGCTTTCGCGACGTATTCCGCTGGGTCGCGAAGACGGGACATTCTTCTCATATCCGTGCTGCGAAGTCCGACTAGATGTTGCTTGCGTCGGGTCATCTTCAGAAGACTGCGCTCGAGCGCTCGAGCGCTCGAGCGCAGTCTTCTGAAGATGACCCGACGAATCCAGGATGGGAACGCCAAAAGTGGGCAGTGTGTGAAATGACACAAATGATTATATGAAATGATCCGACTATATGCTAGAGGTGTATCGTGGAGTTGTTGACAGCACGACTGGCTGTAAAGACCCCGTGCAGCGCGGTCGAGTATCAGAGTAGGACTTGTGCGTTTGCCCCTTGTATGGTACGAGCGTCCGGGAGAGCGGCGCGTCGCTTTCTCCGCAACCCGCGATCAGCTGCAATCATCAACTGGAGAGTACACATATACAATGATTATTACGCTACGGATGTCCTCAAGAAATCAGTTACAGCAGTTTAGAAGAAACGTATTCCGAAGACTCAAAGAAGCCCGCTATCGAAGATAAGGACTTTCATGTTTTTGATGGTTGAAACCTCCTGACAGTTTTTGCATGCATATACTTGTCCAGAAATGAAGAGGACTTCATGTATTGCAGAGTAATCGTATAAAAGCGAACTACAAAGCCCCACAATGCTTGTAAACTACTTGCTTGGCCATGTTAACATATCACATAGACTTTAATTTTTCGAATAATATTCGAAAACCACTAATTGGAAAGTCAAATGATATTAGATATTCGAATATTCGAAATTTTCGATTTTTGAAGATTATTCGACAGTCGAATATTCAAAATTTTCAATTTTCGATTATATGCATTATTCGAATATTCGAAAAAAATTTCGATTCTACCCAAGTATAGTACGTAGTTTTTTACAATTCCCTCCCCTTCTCTAGAATCCTTACAGCTTCGAGCATTTTCATGGAAAGTTTTCAAAGCGTGTTAACGCCATTCTTCTTCATTGAAGAAAAGCCCATTGCAAACACCCGTATTTGAACTGACCTGACCCCCCCCCCCAGCAACTTTGTCATTTGAGCCTACAACCGCTCACCCTTCCATGCTTAAGATAGCAAGTTCAACTGTTGCAAGGCCTTCTTGCCAAGTATCGCTGTCAGTTCACCGCGCTTCCCGTGATTTGAAGGTGTAGGTCATGAGTCAAACTAACATAGATAGTGTACTCAAGCGGAAAATTGAAGAGAAAAATCGCGCAAGTTGCTTCTGAGTACTTTACGGAATACGATGATTGATGCCACGGGCGACAAATGCGCAGACTGCCACAGTTTATGGCCTATGGATAGAATGATTGAGTTGACTGCGGCTGCGGAAAATGAAGAAAATCAGGTTTTATCTTCTTCAGAGTAAGGTTGAAGTTTTCCAAAAAAACTGCCTGGAGTGCAAAGAATAAAACTTGTTCTTTTATTATTTATTAGGTTGGAAACTAAGTTTTACAACTTCTTTCTTAACTTGACTGCCTTGGATGTGGCGCACTCAAGCTCTAGCAATATGTACCCTCTGTTTTATTAAGGTTGACGGCTGGAGGGCGGGGTTTCGGTCGATTAAAGAGCACGTAAGCTTACGTGCTCTCTAATCGACAGAAGCCCCGCCTTTCAGCCGCCAACTCCACCGAAGCACAGGATAGAGACGGGTGTGCGCGATTGAGCGCGAACTTTTTGAATTTCAATAGAAAAATCACAGGTATTAAAAAAAATTAGAAAGTCTAACAGTCAATGTGTGTTCTGCAAATGATTCGCAACGAAATATACGTAGATACTGCAGCGCTCTCCATTAGTACTGCTTAAGCATAAATCTTTTTAACCTGCAAATAAAGTTCGACTATTTTGGAAATATAAATTTGAATGTTACAGATTCTCACATCGTACACTTTTTAGACACTTCCCAACGCTCTCGAATGCCCAGCCTGTGCAAAGCGTTTCATAAACAAATGCAAGTCAGAGAATAAATGATGGGGATTGCTGTTCGCTCGCTCTTCAATTGCTAGGCCATCACTCGCTAGCGGCTTTTCAGATTTGTGTCATTGTGTTTGATTTTGAGTTTAGAGGGCACAACTTTTTCCATATAAAGAGAAAAGCTAAGGGATGAGCTCCAGATTATTTTTCGAATGAAGGGTATTTCAAATGTGAAGTCACTTTTTGTTAAATGTCGAGTTCATGTGCCTTGCACGTTTCGTTTATGTCATGATTCATATAATTTATTTAGAAAGGTTTCTGCCTTCCACGCCTTTCAGTCCAAGCATTAGTGAATCATCACCAATTTTGCTTGGTATCGGAATTCTTTTTCAGGCCAGAAATGGTTTATGTCATAGTTTATGCATTTATTGACTGCCTTCTCGTCATGCTAGAAAACTATATATTTTTCACATGCAAACCAACTTGTCTTTTGAGATTTATTCAGTCTAAAAAAATTACGTATCTCGCAATCTTGAATTACTCTAATATATCCTTTCCTGCTTATGTTAAATCTGTTGAATTTTTGCTTGCTCAAGATTTTTCTTTTTCCAAGAGTAAGAAACATTGTCAATGACACATCAACGTCATTTCTGAGAAGATAAGAACAGACACAATAAGTTTTTATAGAGCATGTACTTGTCCACCCACCACTTTGATAAGAATTTTGCATAAAATAGCTCAGCTGAAACAGTTAAGCAGAAACACTTTGCTTGTTTCTTATTCTTTCCCGTTTTAGGTTGGTTTTTCTTTCACAATATTCTAACTTTATTGTTAATGAAAAATCTCAAGTTTGCAGCTATGTCTATCATCTTAGTTCTCCCCGCACTATTCGGTGTATGCTTTGCAAAATCAGTCAACACAAAGCCTATAGTGGTGAGTGTCATTGGCTGGAGAATTAGTGCATACGCGACGCAACCGCTTGCCCAGCCACGCCCAGCACGAATTCAAAAAATCTGAATTTTCAGACTTCCTCCTCCACCTATGCATATGCCGTTGATCTAGACAAGCCTGTACCAAAGGCTGCATTTACTTGCATGAAAAACAAGGGAATAAGTACTGCAATAATAAGGTGGGGCGAAAATCATGAAAAATTTTATGCAAATATCTCCAACCCTGATTGCAGAGCCTATGGCCCTTCAAATGGTGGTAATTTGGATGAAAATGCTGTAAATAACATTCGCAATGCTGATCAAGGTTAGTGTATTTTATGTTATTGATTGATAGAAAACTACTGACTCTATTTTTTAGCTGGTCTCGGCACCGAGGTATTCATGACACCGGTACCTCAATCAAAATCAAATAAGACAGGTAGCCAACAATTTAGAGAACTATTCGAAGGACTCAAGGCTGGAAATATTACAATAAGGGCGATGTGGTTGCAGGTACGGTAGATTACGGTATTTTCTGAAGTGAATAAATCCGTCAGACTTTCTTTATAGGTTGTCTCGCCAAAAGACTGGGGTTCAAAAGTCGACAATAACATTTATCTTCTAAATGATATCATTTCCATGGCTAAGGTGGGCAATTTCTGGATTATTTTTTCAATTTTTGGAAAATTTATTGACTTGATTCTAGTACTACGGTGTGAGAGTTGGCATCTATAGTAGCGCTTACGATTGGAAACAGATTACCAAGAATGCAATCGTGGAAAACGCTATGCTTTGGTAAGTTTTGTTATTTGAGACTTAGTATTGCCGTAATCAAATCAGATAAAACTTGAGGTACTGGAAGGTGAATGGCGGAGGAGCAAAAGGTGAAACTCCGGCAAATTTCAACGATTTTGTCCCATTTGGTAAATTCACAAAAGCCACCATGAAACAGTATGGGCAAACTGAAGAGCTTTGCGGAGTCACTCTGAACAAGTACTGGCTCTCTTCTTCAGAAGTTCTAGAATAATATAAAAGTTTATTTTTAGAGACGTTTATGAGGTGAAGAAGGCGAAGTTGCTGAAGTTGACCGATCTGAAGGGGAAAAAGGACGATGAGCTAATTGCTGGTAGAATTGGAAGCGACTTATTCGGTGCAGTTGCGGTACCGGCTGCTTGAAATAATACGATGTATTTTGTAGTGTAAATCACATCGAAAATAAAGCTGCTGTATCTGTGCGAGAATTGTCCCACTTCGAAGTAAAAACGCAAATTTCGCTATAAAAGACCAAAACTCCAAACGGGAAGCGACAAAGATTTCAATTTCCACCAATCAGACCAACGGAAGGTTCCGATGGACAACGACTTTAGCTCCAGCGGAAACTCCGACGTTTGCTGGCGACATTCTCCTCTTGATTAACCTTGAACTTTCGCAATTTTGCACAAGTTCCTTGCTTTTTTTCCTGGACAACCTCTGCGGTGCTCGCAGTCATAAATGTTAGACTCACATCTCAAGTAATCTGTCATTTTTATAGCTGAAATTTCGAGAAGACTAGTGCAAGTTTGGCTTCTCCTTCAACACTTCTTGCTGAGTAAACTTAAGATAAGCTGAGGCTCTCCCTACAACACTGCAAATAGGCTCATGCATATTGCTCACTCGCTCAAAGGCAGTATCCCAGCAAAATCGAGAACGATTATAACTGGGCGCTCCATGCCCCCCCCCCCAAAAAATGGGTCACAAAAATTTTGAAAGTTACATGGGTTATAAAAATATGCAAGTAAATAAATACTTGTAAATAATCAGAATATTAACTTTTTGAAGGTTCAAATTAGCCTTACAAAACATTCATCAGAAAATTTTTTTAATGCCCCCCGCTCCTCCCCGAACGGAAATTCTAGGTACGATACCGCCGTGGTGGTATTTCTGGTCATCTCTCTAACTTCAGGCCCAATCCCGCTGGATGATGTCACCTCTTTACTGACAAGAAAAGAATCTCAAATCGCAGTGACAAACTGAAATGATATGCATATCGTTAGATAAGTTTTGAAGGGCTGATTCCAGATCTATTTTTCATTTGCTGTGGGATTCTCTGGAAGGAGCTATGAGCGGTTAAAGTGCAATTCATGGTAGGGTTTTAATCGATGATGTGCATTGAAATCAAGCTTGAAAATGCATAAATGGCGAAATATCGAGTGTGCTGGCTATAAGAATAAAGAGCACATTAACAAGAAACTCAAATAAGTGAACGTAGTAGTTGGAGGCGTGCCATTTGCGTTTGCCATAGTCGAATTTTTGAACGCCTATAACATCTTCCAAAGAATGCCGCAGCAGATAGGGAAGGTAGAATTGGATTCAGCTCATCAAGACGCATCTGATGATGTGCATTTCGTTCCAGATTGCCACTGCTATATGGAGTCCTTCCCTAGTAAGAAAACAGGTAGTCCTCAAATCGGCGCGCGCTCGTATAGCTTCCCTCTCTTGTATGGCGCCCCGGACCAGCATGGTGCGCTATCCAGTACAAATATTAAGGCGGCAGGGTTTTTGTGTCAAGATCCCGATTTCCGTCTGAATTCTCGTCCAAGCTCCATTCTGGGAAGTGTTGAAACTCCCGACCTTTGCCCTACTACCCTATTTCTAATTCCCTACCCACCCGATTTGAAGCTCGAATTTGGGTTTTACGTGACAAAGAGGCTCAAACAAAGGCGGACGTAGGGAATCTGCCTGGACACTGCCTTCAACCTCCTTCCACGTTTTCTCTGGAAACGGCTCATAATGATAAGCTGTTGATAAATGATGCTCAACATCATCGAACCATGCATTAGCGAGATACGACTCAGTTTTCAGTTGTTCCACCTACTTAGCAGCGGTTCTCGTTGCTTCATTGGGTATCATCATGGGATACGATCTCTCACAAGAGTGAGTGGCGTCTAAGGCCCCGGACAGACTTCACGCGATTTGGTCGCCGCGACTCAATCGCCGACATTTCCATTCATTTTCAATTCACATTCAAAAATTTCGGGCTGGAAAAGTATCACAACCGAAATGCAAGTTGATCGGCATGGAATGGTGTTGTAACAGTTGTCTCGTCGCGATTCAGTCGCGACGATCAAATCGCGTGAAGTCTGCCCGGGGCCTAAAGCGCCAATCGGTCTCATTAGGTTGAAAGTACTCATTTCTAGCGATAGCCATATACAAACAGAGAAGGTACAAAAGCGAATCGACCAATTGCAAGTACAAGTTGGAACGTTGGCCACGATAGCTACGGTAACTCTTGAGTTGCAAGTTCGAGCAACGTGATCCAAAAGAAGTGAGGGGGTGAGGGGGAGGTAGAAGTCCGTGCAGGTGGATGCAGAAGGATATCCTTTACCTTTAATACTATTGAAGACAACCAGCTTGTTTCTCGTAATTACCCCATATTGTTCACTGAGTCTAACAGTACTGGAAACCAATGTTCTATTTTAGATTTCACTACTGCTCTCATTACTATTGATCATTCTATACATCCTTGAGGTAATCTGTGGTGGTCCATCCAAAAGGCCAATTGTAAGTTGAATTTTGAAAGATAGCCAGAATGAAGGGTTGAACCAATTAAGCCTCCTCCGCTTCCGACAGCCGTGGTAATTCAAAAGAAAGATAAAGAGGAGGGGAAGACACGTAGAAAATCCAGTAAAATTCCAGATCAATGGTAAGGCAGCTATTCCTTCCGTACATCCTAAAAAGAATCTACTAGCCGTCATACATTGAATCGCTCATTCCCATCAAAGAAAGTTACGCTTGAGCTCGATGTGAAAAGATCCGACAAAAAGGAAAAGGAAGCAGTAAGGAAAACTTTTACCAAGCCATCGATTTTCGTAGTATTGAATTTCAGAAAGAAAAACCTGCGGTAGAAGTGTTCAAAATCGCTCTCGATGCTCCTCCTCCCTATGCCGAGTCTGGAAAAAGCGCGACTGGTGGTCAAAGTAAGTTTTACTCCGCTTTCATCCGTCGCAGATTGTATGCCGGTATAATTCTAATCTTTCCAGAAGTGGGAGCTGCACTGGCACCTCAGCAAGAGCCTAGCGCAGCTACTGGAACTGTAGGTGCAATGCGTATCCTATCCTCCTTATGTTCTGACTTTCAGGTCGGAAGCACAATTTCTGGTGTAGGTACCACCTCTTTGCCTGTGTCAGCCACACAAGAAACGACTGGCAGTCAAGACCGAACCGCTGTACTTCCGTCGCCGGCTCCTCCTTCGCAGCCTCCTCAGCTTGATCAGCTCAAGACCGCTATTTTATCCGCGTCGCCACGACGCGCAAGGCCGGGGATGGGCCCGACGTTAGGCCAGCCGTCACTGCCTGTGCCGGCACAGCCACCCACTCGCACTGTTCTTCCACCGGCAAAGTCTCCGCGAAAGGAACGGAGAAGGACTGCGGCTTCGCCAAGACGATCACGACAGCTGGGTTCCGGAACAAGCGATCAGGCGAGCTTCACTCCTTATTAGCTAAACTAAACATTCACTCCTTCTGACCTTTGATTACTTTGTTTTACAACGCAACATTATCATCCAGAATCTTCAGGACACGAACCATCAATAAATTTAGATGCCTTCGTTTTAGGCGAGTGCAGACTAATATGGAGTTTCAAGCATAATCATCGTTTATTGAATAATTACAGTTGTTTTGTAATAAAAGATTCTTGTGAAATTTGCGTTATTTGAGTTGTTTCCGAAAATTGTTCTAATTGGTGCTTTAATTGTAGGCAAAGTCCGGGCAAGTATGACATTAAAGGCAGCGTCCCGGCAAAAAGATGAGTGCCGGGTTTTTGTCGCGATATTAAAGTCGACTTCCTACGTAATTAATAGCTGAAGTTCGGAGCGAAAAAGGAGGTCTAACAAGCCTGAAATTTGCCCCGAAAGTGGCCCGGATCTTACGTAGGCTCGGGCGAGTACGAGATGCATGCAAGGTAGAGACGCAGTTGTTGTGGGATCCTACGCTCATGATTGTGTGCGCTATGCGTGCTCTGGCCTTGCACATCGCAATTGCTGTGGGCGTGGCATTCGGGCTTACTTAAAGATCCGATCCACTTTCGGAGCGAATTTCAGGCTTGATAGACCTTTTTCCGCTCCTAACTTCAGTCATCGCTTAGGGAGGGGATCTACTTCAACATTTCCACAAAATCCGGCACCCATCTTTTTGCCGGGACTCTGCCTTTTACGAGAAGATATTCTTGATACTCTTGCCCAAGTGGTATCACACCATTTTGCCTCTAAAGCAAAAGGACCGCTTTAAAAGCCTTATTATGGCGCCTCCCAAACCCGCTCATCTATCGGATTCACCGCAAGCTAAAGCGCATGCATGAGCAGTATACTTGGCACCAAATCGAATAATTATTCGATCATTCGAATAAATCATTCGAATGCGAATGATTCGAAAAGTCGAATATTCGAAAATCTGAGATTTCGAATAAAATTCGAAAGTCGAATATTCGAAATTTTTTGTTTTCGAATATATTCGATAATCGAATATTCGAAAATCTTCATTTTCGAATATTATTCGAAAGTCGAATATTCGAAAATCTTGAATTTCGAATATTATTCGATAATCGAAGAAGGTCATAGAATATTCGAAGGTCATTCATTCGATCATTCGATGTCCATCAAATATTCGAATATTCGTCGAGCACCGAATATTCGATAATTCGATAAGAAATGACTATTCGAGAATTCGATATGCATAGCGTATACGGGGTGTCTTAAAAGTATCTACACACCGTTTGATCGCTAATACCTCTCAAAGTCTTTTGCCAATTTTTGGGTAACATCCAATAGGGATGGCTTCATCTTATAAATACAGCAGAAAGCGAATCACTCATGTTTTTTATTGTGTGTTATCACAGTAGGAAACCCCAGCTTATAGACCAACTGCAAAATAAGACATCCAAAAAATTGTCCCCAAAAAGGTCTTATGCTGATTTTACTACGCACGAGTTTTCAAGCTTTTCAAATGGCAATCACATTTTTGAATGGCGTCGCAAAACACCTGTTGCGGTGTATCGTTTGTTCCTCAGCAAAATTTCCATAGGTATCACCACGTCATGTCGGGGTGTGGTGCGGAAGGCGACAATCCCCAATTTTGTGCCTATCAAAAACTCTCCGGTGTCAAAGTGACACCCCGGGGGACTACGGGGGTGGGGGTGGGGCAGATACATTACTCAATGCCACAAGTAGAAATCCGTGAAAGTCATTGAGACGGATGATACACAGCCTCCATTTTTCGCCGATTGTCGCCTTCCGCGTGCCCCCCCCCCCCCGTCATGTCGCTGCCTTTCGCTATTTTGAACGTGTTAACCTCGGGCATTTCCGTTGAAATCTCAGGAGAAACGTGTCAAAAAGGGCAAAAGGCAGCGTCGCACCACGTACGCAGCTGATTCACATGGAAACTTTTCTGGGGCACACAGGATATCTGGCGTAGGTTTTGAAAAAAGCATTACGGTTGAGTGCAAATTTTACATAAAGTGAGTGTCTTTAGAAATCTAAAGCAAGACTTCCAGCCCTTTTGATTCTTTTTCTTAGGGAAATGGCTCTTGATGTTTTGAAACCCACTTCAGTCCTACGGTAATTTTACAGTAGTGAAAAGCGATTGATAAATCGCCCCATACTCTAAGTTGATGTCAGCCTACAGATCTACATATGTTGGGACCGCTGTATACCCAATCGCAACTCTCAGTGAGGGTATATAATCTTCTTTGAAGTACGAAAAATCTTTTCACAACCGTCATAAGAGTAGCTTGGTTCCTAAGTCTCTCTCTTCACGTCACGACTAAACCGTTTTTCCATCGTAAATTGTACCATAAGAATGTGTCCATTCTTATCATTTACATGAAACAATTTATTCTTAGCGTTTTGGCCTTTCATAGGCAGTCTCAATGATGTAAATTATTCGGTCAGTATTTGTGGCGGAATAGCGCCTTTGGAATAAGTAGCTCCGCTGTGATATTAGACGTAAGCTTAGAGCTTTATTGAGTCAGACGACCTGCATGGGTGCAGTAGTAGAATGCTAACGATTACAGGCGGAGCAAAGTAAGTTGACGCTCATCTGGGCAACAGAGATACTCATATCACAGCAGGTCATGCTTATGGCATGACCTGTACGGTAATTAGCAATGAGTAAAGTGATAGGGCAAAGAAGGGTGCCGAAACTGTCGGCACACTGCCACCGGCGGAAAGCGAATGGACAGCGAGGAACGTGATAAAAATATAAAAATGACTGGTTGTTTCCAGAAAACAATAATCTGCTAAAGAAGGTGAAAAAGGTGCCGAATCTATCGGCACACGCACACTGCGGCGGGCCGGGCATGAAACAGAAAAGGAGAGGCAGCATATAGAAAAGATGTAAATAATCTACTCCTGCTCACGAATTCTTCTTCTTGTCTGGATAGAGCAGTGGTCGTTGGTGAGCCGCGCGTATTGCTTCGACTGTGTTGATATCCGCGAAGCATGAGTGGATGTAGCGACGGCAGGAGGCAGACGGTTGGAGAAAGCAGGTTTCAATAGAAATGTTGAAGTTAGTACATCGATTATGGCACATGCAGTTGAGTCTCGAAACGTTTACACTTTGAATACTCGTAGTTGAATTTGAAGGCATTGACTTTCCATCTTCGGTATCGGCTCTCTCTACCTTTGTGGTAGCCGTAGGCAACATGACCTGCAAAGATACCTCACATGCAGATAGGACCTTGTTTGTATTGCATCGATCAATCCTATCGTATTGCTTGTTGTTTTCCTTTTCTGGATCTGCTTTCTCCAGCTTGATGTCTTGCGATAATTCCGCTTCTGTTGTTGCGATTTGATCATTTCCTTTGAGACTTAAAATGATTGTTATGCTAGAATCTTGCTGTAGTTTATCGACAGCTGGTGGTGGGCTGTCCACAACAATGATTCTCCTAGTGGGTGAGGTCCCAATATGAGTATCTTCTTTGTTAGCTGGTTTCGTAGAAGTATGCTCGGCTCTACTGTTGTTCCGCAATGAATTGAACAATTTTCTGCGTTCCAGTCTAGTTTAGTTTTAGTTTTATAGTTCTATCTCGCATTCCAGTACTCGATCATGCAGCTTGTTAACGAACATTTCGGCATCGAACATAGCTTGAAAGTACCTGATTTCTTCTTCAAGCGCGTCAAGCTCCTTTACCATAACCTTCCTCATCATTTTCGTTTGTATCAAATACAGCTGCTCCAGTAGATCAATTTCCGTTCGTAATGACTGTGAATTCCCTTCGACTTCCTTGATAATCCTTGTCGATACACGCAGATTGTAGGCGCAAAATTTTCGTCGCAGTTAGTCATCCTCTGGAAGTGCGGTTTTCTCACCTTGGCATGCATACTCTTGCAATACTTTCGTGAGTTCTTTGGTGTGCCATCTAATTTCTTCTACGTAGTGGCGAGGAATCAGCATCATTGTGTAGTGATCCTTTTCGTGCTGCTATTAGAGCGAAGCACTGTGTCGGCCTTCGTGTTTGGCCGATGCACCATAAATGTGGCGACTTGTTTTAGGCGGGAGGGTGGCGCCTTTAAGAATTGAGCGGAAGGGTGGCGCTCTTTGCTTCTGATAATCAACAGGTGGTTCAGTGGTAGCTTTTATTGTCGTTCGCTAGGAACGTATCGTCACAAGTGATGAGGAGGCGGCCACGCCTAGAAGGCGTGACCGAAGAGAGAGAGAGAGAGAGAGGGGCGGAGGTGAGAGGTTCTGGCATGTGCCAGAACAGTATTCGAAAATCGAATGATATTCGGAAATCGAATAACATTCGAGAACCGAATAATATTCGAAATTCGAATAACGAATGATATTCAATATTCGAATATTATTCGATTCGAAGTTTTCATTTTCGAATAATATTCGATAGTCGAATATTCGAAATTTCCGATTTTCGAATAATATTCAAAGTCGAATATTCGAAATTTTCAATTTTCGAATAATATTCGATAGTCGAATATTCGAGAACTTCGATTTTCGAATATTATTCGATATTTATTCGATATTCAAATATTCGAAAAAAATTTCGAATTTCCCCAAGTATAATGAGCAGGAGAACGAATACCGTTACTGGACGCCGCCTCCGCGCACCACAGTTTTTCGCTCTGTTGTGCATGCCGTGTTAGGACCTGCAGTTCGTGGAAGCGGCAGCTAATGGAGTATTCGTTTCCTTACCCGCGCTTATTGCACATCGTTATTGCTTTGAAACTGCTCTAGTTAGACATCGGATATTATGTTCTTCATTTGACTGACGGCTATGCTTCATCTTCGAGTCTAAAATTCCAAGCTTCGGTAAACACCGGGAGCTGCAAATGTAAATGCAGGAGTAAATTAGCACTTACCTAAACAGCCGATGATTGCTGGTCGCAGACTTTATACCAGTAACTGGACTCCAACCTCTTTTATAGCACTCACGACAGAGACGTAGCACTTGACCTTAAAAGCCGCAAAGGCTCGGATAAGGTGCTAATTTGAAGTAATGGCCATGCACTCGTGCTTCAGTCTGGAATTTTGGCGTTAATCCAAAACGTCTCCAATGTCTTGCGCGCCAGGAATTGTGATTCGCGTGCTAACATTCAGTGTAGGACATACTTATAGAGACA